AGGATGTACTGAGGCATTCAAATCAAGATGGTGTAGATCTACCTTTTGGAGGTAAAGTTGTTGTCCTCAGGGGTGATTTCAAACAAGGGAATATTAGTGTATACATCTCAACGTTTATACCTTGCTAGCAAATTCATCCCAAACTTTTAGAATTGGTTTATTACGTCCCAAGTTTCAAAATTTAGCAGATCCATCCCATAACCTGCAAACCAACAAAAGTGACCTGGTATTACAGATAAAATCATTTGGATCCTATATTTAACATTTTTACTTCTATTTTTTTGAATTTTTAAAAGTTTGTTAGTTTATTGAAACAAAAACAACATTTATAAATGGAGAAACTGAAAAATCTAATTTATTTGTAATGAATCTAATTTATTTTATAATCATATTCATCTTAATTTTTCGATAAAACTTAAAGAAACTTTCCAAAAAAAAATTTTTATTTTGAGTGAAAAATAGAACGATTATGCTTTCATACACACACACACACACACACACACACACACACACACACACACACACATATATATATCTTGTATTCAAAAATTAATTAATTTTGAGTTTATCTAAAATTATAAATTATTTCACTTGTGATGCATAAATTATTTTGATTAATTAAGTAAGTTTTTTCGAGTTTTTTTAATCTAGAAAATTTGTTTGTTTTTTAATGAACTAAAAATGAAAAAAAAAATTTTAAAAAAATGAGAAAAAAAATATAAGACCCAATAGATTTTTACATGTTATATCAGGCCATTTTTATTGTTTTGCAGGTCATGGGATAGATCTTCTCAATTTTAATGACCTTGGGACATAATTAAATAATTTTAAAACGTTAGGATGAATTAGCACACTAGTGTAGACGTTGGGATGTATCCACTCATTCACCCTTTCAAACAAATATTACATGTGATTCCAAAATGTACAAGAGCAGATATTGTCAATTCTGCTATAAACTCTTCTTACCTATGGAGGAGTTGCAAGGTACTTAGATTGACAGTTAACATGAGGTTACATGTTGGAAATACAACTAACAATCCTGAAGAAATTAGAGAGTTTGGTGACTGGATGCTAAAGATTGGAGAAGGAAGGATCAATGAACCAAATGATGGTGAAGCAGAAATTGAATTCCCAAGTGATGTCATTGTACAAGAACCAAGAGATCCTATCGAAGTAATTGTCAATGCTATATATCCATCCTTATTAGACAATCTCGAAAACCCTGACTGGTTCCGGGAAAGAGCAATTTTAGGACCAACTAATGAAGTTATTGATAAATTTAATGACTATATGACAAGTTTATTACCAGGTGAAGAACGTGAGTACCTCAGTTCAGGTAGTATGTGTAATTCTGAACATGGAGGTGAATCAGATCAAGGTATATACACTCCAGAATTTTTCAACAGTGTAAAGGCTTCAGGACTTCCCAATCACAAGTTGGTACTGAAACTTAATGTTCCAATCATTTTACTTCGTAACATTGATCCAAGGTTAGGACTCTGCAATGGAACTAGATTACAAGTTACACGTATGGGATGTTACGTGATTGAGGAAAGAATTATACCAGGAAGCAATATTGGTCATGTTGTGCCTATTCCTAGGATGAAAATCATTCCATCTGACAGTAGTATTCCTTTCAAAATGAAGAGGAGACAATTTCCTATAACAATATGTTTTGCTATGATCTCTTTCTACTGTGGGACTCTACCTACCACGACCAGTATTTAGTCACGGACAGTTATATGTGGCACTATCAAGGGTAACATCTAAAAAAGGTTTGAAAGTATTGATTTGTGATTGTGACGGTACAAGGTCAAATCGAACTATGAATGTGGTCTACAAGGAAGCTCTACGTAATGTTACGTAAAAAGTTATGAGTGTTATTGAGTTCTTTTTATAAACAGTTTGTTTTCTGCTTTTGTTCAAGTGAATCTTAATAAATTTCTTGTTGTTGGATGTTATGATTACTATTTTGTTCAAATGTCTTTTTTGCTAATTAAATCAAATAGAATAGTTTTGACCTCACCAGAAAGCAAGCAAAAATGTAAACAGACAGACACACTTTATGAAGTTCATCAGAAAATTGGAGAAGATATATGCATACACAATCTGGACTAATCAATAACAGTACTAAATATGCACACAAAGAGATTTGTAAGGAATTACCTCATCAAATTAACAGGACTAATCAATTTCCCATGATCTTTATATGTTCAGCTTTTATGAAGAATGGTTTCAGCTCAATAATCCTTTAAACCCTTTCAGCAAAGCATCATATATCATGTTATCAAATTATATTAGTATTGATATGTCAATTGTAAGAAACGATTGACTTTATCAATAATGAAAAACAAAATAAAATTAAAGCAGGACCTTACCAGATTAAAAACCGATTTTATCTTATTCCACCCATGTCAAACTATGAATGGCCACTTAGAGCTTTTAGCATAAAGAGCTTCAAATGAAATTTTCAATACTTCATATTTCTCGATTGTAGAGCCTGATAATATATCCCCAATAATAAATAATCAGATATGCACTTTCATACATTATATATTACTCAAAAACCACAATCAAATATTCAATTACCTTAGCAAAATGAAGTTTGGCCGGAAATAATGGTGCTAGATATATAGACAAGCTTTTATAACCACGAATCTTAACTAGGTCGTCTATTGAACATAATCTGTTTGAAAAATATCATCTCAATATCAGTACATATATATTAATCATTAAATTGATATTTGGAATAATACATTGTACCGAAATAATGAAAATCAACAGTCATATCAATAGGCATATTACTTGATAAACAATCGATTGAATCTGAAAAACGCCCAATTCCAGCTCAGAAACTTCGATTGAACAATCCTTCACCTCACTAACCCATTTATACTCAATGATAATAGCTACACATCAATAAGCAGAATATAAACCCTTGATATGAAGAACAGAGTTATCTGTGAACACCTTCTTAACCTTCAATCGATTGAAATGAATTGGTCAAATTCAATTGTTCTGAACCGCGATTTAAACCAAATGGAAACCAAACGAGATTCTTATCGATACTTGGCAAAAATTGACGCCAAATATCAGATGCAAAGAATTTGATGGGAACTTATGAGGATTCCTTCTGAATGGGACGGATTTAACCTTCTAAAATGAGAATGTGTTATAGTGACGTTTCCAGATCTGTTCGATATGAACAAAGACCAAAATGAAGTTTTTCATTCCCGTTTTTTGTTTATTTTTTAAATAGAACAAGAATTTTACCCTTCTTACCCTCCCAGTTTGATGTATTTTTTTTTAATCCACATAAAGAAATTATTTACCCTTACTACCTTCGGAGTTTGATATATTTATTTTTGACCACATAAATCAAATGTTGTTATCGTTAATACAAAATAGCAAAAATATTAATTACAAGAGATTGCCCGGGCATCCGTCTGGGCCAAGCATCTAGTAAATGTTTACCGCTCTTGCACCAGGGTGATTTTAGGTTTAGTTGTAAAAAATATAGAGTTATGACCTTCGACGGTGGAGATTAAGTGAAGCAAATTTGATCAACGGTGGAGATTAAGTTAAACAAATTTGATCTAACTGGTTTAAAATATTTAAGTCATATTTCTAGATTTGTAAGAAAACTTCATTCTTAATATAAAAAATTCTTAATTTTCTGTCTCAAAAATCACTCAGTTTAGATAATATTTAGCTTCAAATTCAAAAGATTTCAAAAGTTTAAAATTTAGAAATTTTGTTGAAATTTTAAAATTTCTTTTTATATTTTTTTGGATGTTTAATGAATATTTAATTTTTTTGAATATTTATTTTATTACCGATCCGATTTAATGCACAGGTGACCGGACATTCTCCCGGCGGAAATATCTAGGAATTAGTAAAATAAGATACTCCCTCCATTTCAATTTGTAAGTCGTTTTAGGTTTGAAGAGATTTTTCAAAATGTAGGTCGTTTTACAAATTGTAAGCAAATTAATGACTGTTTTTCCAATTTTACCCTCAATAAATGATGCCAATCTATTTTCATTTAGTCTTGTTTATAATTCTAATGTAATTAATGAGGGATAAAACATATATTTAACACATTAATTACTTGATGATTGTTTCCTTAGTTCACATACAAAGTGTAAAATAACTTAGTATTTTGAAATGTAGGGAATAATTATTTACTCGCTCACTATCACTGTGGATGCTGGAATGATAAAGGTTAGAAATTAGTTTAGCCTGTGACAGGTAGTAAAGCATAAATTAAGGCCGAGATGTCGCAGAATTCCAAGCGGTTTGGCGGGGAAGGCTGCGGACTCTTAATGACAAAAACTCCCAATAAGTATTCGAGAAAGCCGCCGTGCCGTCTTGGCTGTTGTTAAATAGGAGTACATTTGCTTAACCCGCACTTCAACTCTTCAACAATTATGATTGACCTTGTTAATTTTTGTTTTCAACTTTTTTTTAGCTTACCTAGGACAAAAATATGAGTATTTTAGCCTATAGTGTTCTCTTAATTCTTTACAGTAACCAGCATTATTCTTGAAGAGAATATTTGTTTTGTTTACCAAAGAATACTACTCCCTCCATTCCAAAATAAGTGTCGGTTTAGCAAAATGGAGAAGTTTCAAAATAAGTGTTGTTTTCAGATTCCAATGTATTTTTTCTCAAAAATTTCCAAACATACCCTCAAAAGAAATAATATTATTGGTGAGCATTTATTTTAATGGGATTGGTTGAGGATATTCTAGTAATTTAGCTACCATATTTAATGTTTTCTTAAACTGTGTGAAAACTCTAAAATGACACTTATTTTGGAATGGAGGAAGTACTTTAACTAGTTTCTGCCAATATGGGAAACATTATTAGGTTTCGGGTGATATTTTCATCATTACATAACGCTTCTTTTTGTAAGTCTACTTAAAAAACCTTTGACGCGTGACAAATCATTTGTCCATTAAAGTTAAGTTACCATTTTGATATAGATACTGAAAGAAATGTTTAGAACAGTTTTTAGTATGTTTCTTTGTATCGAACTGAAAATGAGAATGTATTGTAAATGAGAAAAACGGAAGTACTAAAAGAAATTGGGTTACCAAACAGAGTAGTTTGTCCAACAATTTGGTAACAAAATAGTCTGGAATTTGGACCACAATCGGAATCCAAAGTGCAAAACCATTTCTTAAGCAAGACTCAACTGCGGGAAAAAAAAAAAAAATGGGAGTGATCCAGTGTATAAAGCTTTTTCAGCTCCAAGTGCCAAGAAACACAGGATGAATTTTTCAACTTCCCAACGTTTAATTAACGTCATTGAAAGCCTTAAAACTAGGATTTGAGTCCCACCCACCCGTGTGCACAACTCTTTGACTCTCTGAGATTATAATTCTTTTTTTTCTTGTTTTTTGGTGCCTAAAAAGTGACTAAAACCCGCCTCTTTCCTGGTTTAGCTATCATTCTGGTCGCCAATTTTGGTGCATTCCAGGAGTACTTGGTACAATTATTTTAATCATTCTGAGGGATTTCTTGAGATGGTTCAATGAACTTTATCTTATGGAGATGTACAAGAGTACAAAAAATGTTGAGAGATCCTTCCTCAATGGATGAGAACACTCTGCACTTAAATTTGGCTGCTTAGTGTTTGTTATTTTGTGGCAGTGTGGCTGCTTTCAATACCTTTCTCTCCCACAAACAAGCAGGATTTAATGGAAAATATTGCTAGCAGGAAAGATGGTTCTGTTCTTTCAAGCCCTTTTTCATCTCCAAACATTGGTGCTTTGCTCAAGATCAAAATTTTATCTTGGTAAGATATATGACTTGATGAATATTTTGTTTCCAATACTGAAGGGATGTTCTTATTGATAATTTATTTGTGTGTATTATGTGAAATCTGATCAGGAGTCAGCAGACTGGTTTGCCTGTTTGTGTTCGTGTTCGGGTGGCCAATAGAATCTTTAATCTGCACAAGGTAAGCTAAAAGGCATTCAAGCAATCTATCTGTATGTAATATCATGATTGAGTTTCTTTTGTTCTTTGTGCTATCATAAACATGTATTCCTTTTTCATTGCAGCATCCATTGTTTTCGAAGAGTGGATACTTCAAGACAAGATTGAATGAATCAAATGAGGTTCGGCTACCGGATAATTTTCCAGGCGGGGCAGAAACCTTTGAGATGATCGCACTATTCATCTATGGATCTTCCACTTTGGTTGACCCTTTTAATGTGGCAGCCTTGCGCTGTGCAGCGGAGTTTCTCGAGATGACTGAGGAATACAGTTCTGGTAACCTTTGTGAACGTTTTGACATTTATCTAAACCAGGTTGTGTTGCAAAGCTGGGATGATACGCTGATTGTTCTGCGAAGGTGCCAGAATTTGCTTCCTTGGGCCGAGGATCTGCTTATTGTAAGCCGTTGCATCGAGTCTCTTGCATTCATGGCTTGTATGGAGATTCTTGATCCTGAGAGGAGAAGGGAGAAACCGATCGCCACATTGGAAGGTTTGGCTAGTCAACCCTGGAGCTGCGAAATTGTTGAAGAGATTGTGAGCCAAGATCTGTGGATTGGTGATCTAATAGCTCTGCAATTTCCATTCTTCAAAAGGATCATAGGATCATTAAGAAGACAAGGTATGAAAGAGAAGTATGTTAGCCCCATTATTCTTTTCTATGCCAACAAATGGATTCTTTCTCCGAGTTTGAAAAAATTGGAAAATGTTCACAACCATGATGATGATGATGATGATGATCAAGATGATTCAAAGGGCCAATTAGTCTCAGATATCCTCTTACAAGGGATAGTTGACTTGTTACCTCTGGGTGAGAAGGCCAGCAAAGGGATCCCTGTTGGATTTTACCTGGCTTTACTCTCCCAATCTCTTGAAAACAATAGCTTGAGGAATGATGGTACTGAAAAACTCCAACAGCAAATTGTATCTCTGTTGCATTTTGCTCAAGTTGAGGATTTCCTCTTACCAAAAAAGAGTCATCTGCAAAAGTCTTCCATTTCTTCTTCTGCTCAACTTGCCATTATGAAAAGCATTTTTTCAGATTATGTTTCATCATTCATGGGGCCCTGCCACACTCCATCAAGTAATCACATTGTCGCAGAACTATGGGACATGTATTTATCTCTGGTGGCAACTGATGCAGTCCTGAATGTCACTGAATTCATGGATCTGATAGAAATGGTTCCCTTGGGCAGCCGGCAAAGTCATGATAATCTGTACAGAGCTCTCAACGCTTTCCTCCTGGTGAGTCTTAATCCCTACTTGTTGTTTACTAATCGTGTCCCATCAATGAAATTAAGTCATTTTACTTGTACATACAATATAGATAATAACCTTAAACGCGTAAACTTTAGACTGTTGAAACTTTGTTGTTATCAGTTTCTTCATATACAAATGGCCAGTTTGGTCTAATATAGTGTGATCATCATTCCTTATAGGCACATCCAGACGTATCCCAAGAAGAGAGAGGATTTGTTTGCAAGTATCTGAACTGCCATAAACTGTCACAAGAAGTATGCATAGATGCAGTACAAAATGAACTAATGCCACTGAGGCTGATTGTCCAGGCACTATTTGTTCAGCAACTGAATACACAGCAAGCATTTAAAGAATGTTCAGACTCATTCAGATACGCACAGTGCAGTGATTTCTCTGGAAGCCTACCAAGCTCGTGGTACGCCAACTCGAAAAGCCAACATTTAGCAGATCAGAGCTGCAGCCCATGCGTAGAAGGGATTGCAGGAGGCAACAACAAACTTGGCTTCTTCTTGAAGCAAGACATAGCAGTGCAGCATCACAAATCCGAAACTACAAAGAAAGAAAGCTCGAGAATGGATTACGAGTCTTCCAGTTTCAGAATCCAAAGCTTGGAGCAAGAACTGATATCCTTAAAGAGAACACTCCAACTGCAAAGCATCTCAAAGAAGAGGGAACCAAACAATAGTTGTACTACTCAAGCAAAAACGGAACCATTTGTGGAGAGCCTCATTGGTTTAAGGCCTTGTGGTTCTGCTGCAAAAAGATCATTGAGCAAGAGGAGAATCAACGCAGTCGGGCCGGTATCAACTTGTATAGGGAGTGTGAATCTGACTACCCAAAGAAAATATGCTAGCAAGCTGCTGAAGATGTTCAGGAGGATTAGTTTGCTTGGCAGGAGAAAATCAACAAGAAAAACCAAGTAGTTTACTGAATAAAGAATCCATGAGAAAGATTGCTATACATAGCAAAAAACTGTATATATATGTGATATGTCTATTGAAATGCAGGGAACAGAGAACTTCCTCCCTTGTGCTTTATATTTATTTGTATTTTTCTTCCAATGTCACATGTGAAAGTAAAATTGTGCAAATAATGGGCTATTCAATATCAGTGTATAGTTTCAATGGTATAATAGTCTGAGTATGATTTGTTTGCATTTTCACGGTCGCAAAATATTACAACAAATTAACAATAGTTTTGGGACGAAAAGAACAAATACTTCCATTTTTGGTGCCTATGTCAAAGAAGTGACTTTCTTTCTTATGTGACTTTCTTTTGCATTATATGAGCCATATAAATTACAAGAAAAAGGCTTTTATTAACTAAAAAAAAAAAGCTTTTCTTTATCAAATCTAGAGTTCTCTTCATACCTTCGAAAATTCACCGCCTTTAAAATTCAATTTAAAGCGACGCCGGCAACTAGTGTGCGTCGGTGGTGGTGCATTGATGGGGGCGACGGTGATTGTTGTGGTGGTGATGTGATGGCTGTGATGGTGATTATGATAGTAGTTAAATGAAGCTTCCGGGGAATCTCCAAAAACAAATTCCACCACTTCAACTCAATAATTTGCTACAACTGTGTAGCAATTCTAGGGCGTTGAATCCTGGGAAACAAACCCATCAACAGATTATAGTTAACGGCCACGAACAGAATGAGTTTATACGGACCAAATTGATTCAGATGTACGCCGAGTGCGACGAGATTGATATAGCCTCCAGGCTGTTTGACAATTTGTCTGAGCCAAATGTGTTTGCCTGGACTGCGATCATCTCCTTCTTTTCGAGAAATGGGATTTTTCACGAGTGCATAAACGCATATAAAGCTTCGAAATTTCAGGGTTCGATGATTCCTGATAACTATGTATATCCAAAGGTCCTAAAAGCTTGTGGGACGAGTAAGTGCTTACAAGTGGGTGTTCAGATCCATAAAGATGTCATTTCATGTGGGTTTGGTTGCAGTGTTCAAGTTTGCAATGCGCTGATTGATATGTATTCAAAATGTGGAGAAGTTGGATGTGGCAGGTTGGTTTTTGATGGTATGGTGGGGAGGGATGTGTTGTCATGGAACACAATGATCTCTAGCTATGTTTGCAGTGAATCTCCTCATCTGGCCTTGGAAATGTTGGAGCTTATGAGGTCAGATGGGATTGAACTTGATATAGTCACCTGCAATACTGTAATGGATGCTTATTGTCGTATGGGGCAATGCGAACAGGCTTTAAGAATATTTAACCAGATCGATGAACCTAATGCAATATCATGGACAATTTTGATATCAGGGTTTTCTAGGACCGGGAACCATGTAATGGCATTAAAGACCTTTAGGGATATGGTTTGTCAATCAAAGGTGGTTCCTGATTTGGATTGCCTTTCTTGTGTCCTAGCAGCCTGTCAGCAGTTGGGGGCAATAAGATGTGGACGAGAGATTCATGCATATGGAACTAAAGTTGGATTTAGGAGTAGTACATTTTATACTTCAGCTGGGCCTGCATTGTTGGCACTATATGCAAGATGTAAACGCACGCATGATCTGGGGAATATATTTGGGATGATGGATTCTTCTGATGTTGTTACATGGAATGCATTGATTTCGGGTTTTGCTAACTCAGGAAGCAATAAAGCTGCTTTTGATAGCTTCAAAGAAATGCAAGAAGTAGGAATCAAGCACAATGAGACGACAATTTCCACCCTTCTGCCCATGTGTGACCTCAAATTGGGTAAACAAATTCATGCTCACATTCTAAAAGAAGGTTTTAGTTCTGGAAGCCTGGTTTGGAATGCACTCATTCACATGTATTCCGCAAATGGATATGTTGATTTTGCGCATCATGTATTTTCGCAAACGGAATGTAGGGATGAAGTGTCATGGAACACGATGATGAGAGGATTTGGAATGAATGGTCTTGGAGAAGCTTCGGTGCAGCTTTTGGAAGATATGAGTAGCTCTGGTATTCCACCCAACTCTTTGACATTCACTTCTGTGCTGGCAGCCTGCAGCCATTCAGGTCTTGTAGCGGAAGGGCTCCAAATTTTCCACAGGATGAAAGTTGATTATAATGTCGAGCCTGGTATGGAACACTACATTTGCGTTGTTGATTTGCTAGCCCGTGCCGGTCAGCTTGAAGATGCTGTTGAGTTTATCAGAGAAATGCCTTGTGAGCCGAACAAGCATATATGGGGTTCTATACTTACTGCTGCATCTCTAGACGAACAAAATGTGAGAATTGGAGTCTTAGCTTCAGAGCATTTGGTTCAGCTGGAGCCAGAAAATGCAGGACATTATGTGACGCTGTCAAATTTATATGCTAAAGCTGGAAGACCAGACGACGCTGTTAAAGTTCGCAGGTTAATGGAGCACAGAGGACTGGTGAAGGAATCAGGATCTAGCCAGCACCATCTTTAAGTGAAATGTGATGCAGTGCTATCACTACACTGAAAAAAGGCAGTAGAAACATCTCATCTGAATGAAATCACATCCCGGATCAACATGAGGATTACCCAAATTCTTCTGTGAAGGTGCCAGAATCACTTGTGCTGAAGATCTTGTTATTATAAACCATCAGCATTGAGTTTCTTGCATCCATGGCTTGTATGGAGATTCTTGCTCCTGGGAGGACAAGAGAGAAGATCAACACGACACAAGTCAACCAGGGAGCTGCAAAGTTGTTGAATAAATTGTGACTTGATCTGTGCATTGGAGATCTGCAATTCCATTTTTCAAAAAGATTACAGGACTATTAAGAAGACAAGGTATGAAAGAAGATGTCAGCCCCCTTATCCTTTTCCTTCCAACGCGTGGATCCTTTCTCCAAGGGCTTACTCCATCATACATGAGGCCAGGGTATACTCCATGGGCAGTTGCATTGTTGCAGAACTATGGGACATGTATTTGTCCCGGATTGCAACTGATCAAGTCCTCAATGCTAATGAATTTATGGATCTGATCGAATTAAAGTCATGATGATCTGTATGGAGCTCTCAGCGCTTTCCTCCTGGTAAGTCTTCAGACATTCATGAATCTTGCGACTTTGATGCTAGTCATTTTGGAATGAAGTAGATTGGTAATGATCCGTACATTTCCTACTTATGGATTTACTATATCATGACGTAAAAGCCAAACGAAACTATGTCGTCATCAGTTTCTTCCTAAAAGTCAGTTTGGCAGAATAGAGCGATCCTTTCTTATAGGCACATGACACATCCAGATGTATCCCAAGAAGCACGAGGATAGTGTCTGAACTATTGTAAACTGTCACTAGAAGTATGCGTAGATGTAGCAAAATGAACGGATGCCGCTGCAACCCAGGTCAGCGCTGAAAGCACCTGATGCCACTCCGTATCATTGAATACCCGCTAACTCGAAATGCGAAGATTTCGCTGATCAGAACTGCAGCCATGCATATATGTAAGTGGAGGAGGGAACTACAGACTGTTTTCTTCTTAAGGCAAGACACAGCAATGCAACATCACAAATTGGAAGCAACAAAGAAAGAAAGCTCGAAAATGGATGACGAGTCAGAGTTTCAGAATCCAATATCTGGAACAAAAAGAACTGATATCTTCGAAGAGATCCAACTACAAAGCATTTCAAAGAAGAGGGAATCTAATAATAGTAGTAATCCTCAACCAGAAATAGATCATTTGTGGAAAGCCTCAAGGGTATAGAAGTCCATGTGGTTCTGCAGCAAATAGATCATCCAGCAAAGGGGAACTAAGGCAGTTTGGCAGGTCTCAACTTGTATTGGGAGTGACAGACTGAATCTCACCACCCTGACCCAGAAATGAGTGCCAGCAAATTATTGATGTTAGGTTTGAAAGAGAAAAGCAACAGGAAAAAGCCTTGTAGTAGCACTTCCTGATGTGTGCCAGCCACTGTAGGTTTTTTCGGGGATCAATGCTGGATCTTGAACATTTATACCGGTGACTAAGAATAATGACAGATTGTTATACATAGTTATATTTATATGTCAATTTTAAAAACAAAAGTATCATCTTGATTCTCCTTTGTAAACAGAAGTAAATACTTTGATCAAACAAACTTTAGCATGAAGAAGCATTTGAAGGGGGCAAGACTGAACTAGACATCCCAGAAATCTAGATCTTCAGTAGTTCTTAACTTCTTATATTTACATATCAAAACAAACCAGAAACAAGAAAAGAGCAGCGGTTGAAACTTAGACATACAGAATACACAACACTGATGCCAAGCCAAACACAAAACTAACACATAGAAGTCCGGAAAGCCAAACTAGACGACCTTAGCTTCATCAAGGCTCCGATCACTTGAAAGAACAGGTTTAAACACAGGTTCTGCTGAATCTCTGTGTAATTTTGCATAGTGCAGGCGGCAAACTGGCATATACATGTCAGCACCCCCAATTAGCTCTGTCTGAGTCTCATCTGTCTTCCTCAAAGTAAAGAATGCCTTCTTTCTACACAGCTCACAGCGTGCAGTCAGTTTGGTTACTGTGTCAGCAAGTGGCACCACTTCAAGGACTGAGCCAAAACTCCTCCTATTTTCAGGGATTTAGGATCAGGTAGTTATTCTAGATTATCAGATCATCAAAACAAATCAATTCAATCAAATAGAAACCAAATGAACAGAACCCAAAAGATCACCTCAAATAATCCCCATCTAGGCCAGCAACAACCACAGTTTTCCCATCAGCATCAGCTGCCTCACAGCAGAAATCATACAGGTCATCAAAAAACTGAGCTTCATCAATTCCAATCAGTTCCAACTGCCAACGTATAGATCAAGTCAGACACAATCTAGAGACAAATTTGCATCTTTTAAAGAAGCAAAATCTGGGCCTCAGCCTTCTGCTACTAGAAACGAGTATCCTCAGCAATTTATGTTGAATTAGTTTGATAAATTAAGCAGAAAGAACTTGCAGATCAAGAAGTAACTAGGGCTGTTCAATTGTAAACACTACTTCCAACCCAATATGAAAACCAACCAAATAGGTTCAGTTTTTTAAACATTCGATCCAGATCAATCAAGCTTTAGGTAAAAATAGATAAGTTCAACCACATGAACTCAATATTGACCCAGCACACTATTATCTCAACTTGACCTTATGCAAAAGGCCCCTAAACAATAAAAGCAAACTAAACTAACGTTATAACTACAACCCAAAAGTACCTTGTCATAAGCAACAGGCCCGAGTTTCTGCTTCAATGATAAAAGATCTGGCAAAGCCCAGCAGGGGAACTTCACTCCATCATGAGACACCACGGCATCTATGGCATATCTTGTATCCTTGCTTGACTTTATCATTGCTACATTTCTGTAGCCCAAAAACAACCCGGATCAACAAAATCACCAAAGATCCGAATATCCATTTTAACCTACTCCTATAAAATTAGCAAAGTCAACCGTCCCAATACCAAAATAGAACTACCATCTTCTGCTCTAATACCATTACAATTCAACATACATGAAACAGAAATAAAAGCTCACATTTTTTTAAAGAAAAGGTCAGATAAACCTCACATCCTCCACATACCCGGAATTTTTTTTTTTCCCTTGACGAGAGCAAAATTACCAATGAAATCATGAAAGAAACCTAGTAATACTAACAGAGAACAACTTAAAAAGCCGGAAACAGAGTTACGGGGAACTGTTCGGAAAATTACCTTCCGCTGTCGGATGCAGATTTGACACGGCGAAGCAGAGCAGTGGTTTTGCCGGCAAACATAGGGCCTATGATGACATGGATTTCCCCTGCACCCATCGAATCCACATCTGGGCTTCTAGCAATTGAGGACATCATTCTTTTTCCCCCTTTTTTTTATTGATTAAAAGATACTGATTTCTGGAAATTTGAGATGATTCAAGCAGGATTGAGGAGGGAAAAGGAAAGAAACAGGTGGGATGGAAATGTGAGGGAATGGTGGGGTGTGTGTGTGCGTGTGTGTGTGTGTGTGTGTATAGATATATATAAATGAATGAAGGGGAAAAGTGAAAAGCGTCCTGAATACGGTTTTTGGGAATTTTGAAATTTTCAAACGTTTCAATTTTCTGGAGGGAATACGAGTGGAGGGAGACGGAGGTTTTCTACTTTTTTGGAGGTTTTTTAATGTGGCGGGAAAGGCGAGGAGCGTTCTCTCTTCTGGACACGTCATTTTAATTAATTAAATTTTGACCGAGTCATTTTTCTAGCGGAAAAGGAAAAATAAATACGGAGTATATAACATAATCGAAATTTCAGTACTCAAAAATAAGATATAATAATCAATCCCTATGAATTGCTTTACAATTTTATTTCTTTTCTTATAGAAAATAATATCGAAAAAACTAATGCTAATACTGTAGATCTTTTTGCGTGGCTTGTGATTTTAATTTGTCAATACAATATAACAAAAATAACAACAACAAAAAGATTTTCGACCTTAATAAGAGTGAAATTACATTAAACATTCATTCTCTTCATTCTTAATCGTCATCATATTCAGATAAAATTCGATTTTTTTAAGAAAATACAAAATAACAAAATTATGTCTGGACCCAAAAATATGTTCATACTAGCAGTGTTATTAAGCATTATGTTTCCTTCTCTGTATCAAGAAACTAAATAAATAAATGAATTAGCCGTGTTATTCCTGCAATAAAGTACTAATTCAAGTAAAATCTTAATTCAAAAAGTGGTCTACCCTTCGCTTTTTGTCACAGATTCTCAACATAAAGCATGCAAAAGCATTATCTCGTTTCATGTTTCTTACCCTTAACATAAGTCTTGGATGTTCCTTCAACCGGGGGGTGGGGGGAGGAAAGGAAAAAAAGGCTTTGAATGTACCATGATTTGGTTAGTTCAAATTCCTATAGCAAGAAGTATTTTGCTATTTATCTTGACAGTTCTTGAGAATTCGTAAAAGAAAAGCGTATTCTCATCGGGGCATAGTTTTTTTCTAGTAAGGCATGTGTGCCTTCTTTTCTTTTACTTGCCTCCTTTCAATGTGAATGATATATAAAATTTGAACAACTATGAGGCCTCCTTTGCCAGTCTTAGATCAAAGGAAACATCCATTGTTTCAGTTAACTTCTTCCCTCCTCGATTGTTTGTCTAAAATTGTCACTGGCACTAACTTGATGGCAAATCTCAATTCTCAAGTACCATGAATTCCGCAAAAAGCATAAACCATGTACTAAAAATCAAGCGTTTCTTCTTACACCACAGGCTTCCATCAACTAAACACAATTTTCCCTTTGGACTAGTAGTAGAAGATTCAAGTATCACAGTAAGTGCATACACTTAGGAGCAAATATAGTCACATCCTGTTGTAACTACAAAAGCCTCCCAACCACAATTATATCAAAATTGTTGCGTTACCTCTTGAGATTGACAATTGACATTTTAACAACAATTACAACTCATCCTCCTTGGAATTGTCATCATCCCCCATCAACGCTTCCAGCGATAATCTCATCTTCCTCAAGGATTCGCCCATCTTTTCCATCCCATGGTTCTGTAAGCATGATGGAAGGCGTGCCCTCAAAAGCTAGGTTGTTCTTTCCGCCAAGTCCAGCTTCTTTTACAAATTCTCTGAAGACAGAAAATAAGCAGAGTTATAGCTCCTCAAAACCTGCAGTACAACTGGAAAAGAACCGAAAGAAATATACTTACATGATCTCATCACGCTGAAATGCACTCTTTAGAGGAGTATAAACACCCTTCTTCAAGTTGAGAGCTACCATAGCTGGGTAGCCATACCCACCAACACCAACACGGTACTCCAGATCAGACTGCTTACCTGCAGCTGACCAGACAAAGCTGCAAATTTCCCAAATAGTTGGCTCAGTTTGCTGCATGCATAGAGATTTCAATTGAGACATGAAAACTAAAAGGCAATTCTTACCTGTACGGACTTCTCCTAAACATCTCGGCAACAGATAATAACATCTCAAGATACTTATTCCGACCATCTGCCTTGGAGTCCAAAATGTCTGGTAAGAAGCAGACAAAACAAATATCTGCTGGGCTACATTTCGCTTCCATCACATCCTAGGAAAAGAAAGAAAACCAACGGTTCGAATCTTAGGCAGTTCACAAGATAATGGGAAAGAACTCTCCTCCCAGTAATGATCATATCATTTACTGTCTCCAATTCAAGAATCAAGAAGGAGAAGAGGTTTACCGGGCCAGTTAACTCAACAACTTCATGAGGCGCCACATAAGTTTCTTGCTGCTCCAAAGCATATGATTCAGTAGCCGAGGCAGTTCTAGCACCTTTAGGGGTATCTTTATGAGCACCAAATACTAGGATTGTTGGATGTCCTTCTACATTAAACCTGCTGATCAGAATTGCAACTTAAGGATCCATAGACATATAAAGAAGTCTTCTCCTATGAAAACACAGCCTATGATTTAGATCTCATGTCAAGTTTAACAGGCTGCAACAAAGTAATCCTTGATGTTTATATGCCTGAAGTTATGGAAAAGCACACTCTAGCCATTCAGATCAGGACTTTAGCCAGTAATGCTTTTTTAGACAAGAAGTGGTGAGTCCTTTTCATAAGCACAATACTTTTGTGCTAGTCAATCTTCAGCCCTAAACTTCACAACCAAAGCTCTCTAACGTGCCTGCTTTTTAAAGCCATAAAATTGGGCAAACAAATCCCTCAAATATGCATAGATATTGCTTGATTATTAGTCAATTTATGAATCAACAAAAAGAAAACGAAAAACAGAATAAGCTCTCTCTGTCAGACCACTTAAGGCACATACAATAGTTTTCCAAAAGAAATAAATCCTTTATAAATTCAGGGGAATCAGCGAGACTTACTGCACAGCTGTGTCTTTGCTATGTGGAGCCAAATCTTCAGGGTTTATTGCAGTTAAGACACGTCCAGTCAACCCTTCTTCTTGGATTCCTTCTCCCAACTGCCCTAAGTTCTCTTTATCCTCAGAGGTGCGTGCAGCTTTGTTAGACCTACAACAGCCAAGAAGATCATCGTCGGCAGGTATATAGGAATTCGAACCCGTCGACGAGCCGGATTTTTCCCCCTCAGAAATGGAGATCGGAGAAGTTTCTGCAAACGGAGTAAAAAAATGAAATTAGTTTACTCAAAAAGAAAAAGAAACAATGATTTTGTACAATTTTAATTTATTTATTTTTTATTTTACGAAAAAGTAAATTTACAATAATAACCTTCGGCTTCAGCGTCGTCTTCCTCAGCTTCGCCGGTGTCGGCGGCGAGACCAGCTTTCTCCTTCGAACAGTCCGGTTTCGATTTCCGGGAGCCGTTCCCCTTTGCTTTAAGATGATAATGATGGAGCTCGTCGTCCAACTGCTCAGCCCGCAGTAATTCTTGACTGCCGGACGGAATCACCTTTTCCGAAATGCCTACGCCCAGCTTCTGCACCAACGAGTCATAACAGTGTTTCTCGATCTTTCCCCAGTCTCCGTCGAACTCCTGAAAACAAATTACATGAAGAAATCGGCCTACTCCGAGTACAATTGGTGAATAATGATCAAGATTCAAGAAGCAACACAAAATTACTTCGCCGGTCGGTACGTACCTTGAGAAGTTCGACGACGGCTGCCTTCACCGAATCTTGATTCTTTAAGTCGTAATACCGGTCCATATGTCTGCACGCAATCTGGAACCTCTCATGATCAAAGCGTTCGCGCCTGTGTGCCATAACTGTTGTCTACTGATTTCCTGAATGATGTTCTACAAGCACATTTTATGCAGTGGGATTACCTATATATATAGACTACAGTGGCCTCACAATTACGTCCAGTATATACAAAGAAAGGGGAAAAAAACCAATAAAAATTTATATATATAGGATTTGTGAAAGCGGAGAAAGCCAAATTTAGTTCATTCAGAGGAAAGAAGAATTGTTATGATACATAGATAGAAAGATATCAATAAAATAATATAATTTTTCCTTTTGAAAATTAATTCTCATTAAGAAAAAAAAAAACAGTATGTGGGAATATATATAACTTGAAGTACATTCTCTAATAAATGGAATCACATAGAAATTATGTTTTGTTTTTATTTCAATATAATGATATAGTAAGTTTGGTTTTTGTTTGCCATATATATATTATCACTCTGCATGCTTTTAGATTTGGAGCTATGCTTGTCGTATTGATGTCCCTCACAGCAAATACAGCAAATATGCATGAAATTATCACCTAAAAAAATAAAATGAATACAATATAAAAATAATTAAAAAAAAACGTCCAATCTAAAAATGATTGTCCACTTTAATACTTCACTTTTAATACCAACCAATCTGGAAAAAAAAAACTGAAATTTTAAACTGTGCAATCATTTTGGGACGAAATAACTTATTTACACATTCTCCCGTGTAAACAGCGACAAAGCCATGATTTCACCTTAGGAAATATAAAATAAGAAAAAAAATACTCCCTTGGTTCCAAACTTATTGTCCAATTTGAGATTCACTTTTAGTACAATTTGAATTAAAAACTAGTTCTAGGTTGTGCGACCAGTTTGTAGTTCAGATTTGAAATAATAAATAATCATAATAAATATTTTTTTATTATAAATATTGTTGCTATTTACATCATTATACTCTGTTTGTTTTCGAGAAGCTCTATTACAATGAATATTGATTGTAATATTTATCTATTAACATGTTATCGTGTATTTGTATATAGTTGTGTGTTCAGACTAGTGTTATTTCAAATCATTTTACTTTATCATATTAACCGCATTTTTTTTTGGAGGATACTAGTATAAAAAAAAAAAAAAATTGATGGGAGATGGTTCGAGAAATTTGTTAGTGAATATTATTTAAATATTTATTTTAATGAGTAAAAGTTAACGAAAAAGTATAGAAATAGTATTGTATGTTAGGCAGTCAAACTCAAATAATAATTGCATACGTCTTTTATTATAAAATGAAAGGACATAGATGAAATCAATTAGAAGTTTTTATATTTGAAAGGATGTTTTTAATTTTTAAGGTTCACCTAACATTTTTGTATTAGCACTTATATAAACCATTAGAATTGTTTTCAAATAATCGATCTCAATATAGATAAATTGGTGTGTATCCTATGCAAATTATGTAATTTTCAATATAAAATGGAAGTTTTTCACCCATGAAACAACTTGGTCATCATGGAAAGAATTATTGACAAACTTTCTAAGAATAAAATAGAGGCAAAAATACCTTTTCAGTACTCGAAAAAAAATTTAGAAAATTATCTTTTCTAAATGTTATCATGGTGTTGTCAAATTATCTTTTCATCCCAACCCATAAAGAATAGAGAAAAATAAAAAAGAAGCAAAATGTTTAATTTTCTCTTCGAGTTCATGTCCTACTCCACATATATAAGATCTACATACTGAATGTATACCAATATTCGCAGAATAAAAATAATACGGAGTATCACCTAATTCAATAAGAAGAAATAGAGTCATAAATAGTAAACGCACTTTAGCTAAGAAAGTTCCAAATCCATGGTCACGTGTCTCAATTTTTTAAATTTTTGAGCATGTAACTTTGGGTAAATACACATCCAAAGAATAAAAAAAAGAAAAAGAAAATATGACTTTAACCATTACATTTTAGGAATTTATCCACGATAAGAAAACATATTTTGCGTGCATTTACTTTATTAAAGTATGTACTACATCGATTGTTAATTCGATAAAGAAAAAAAATTAAATAAATCTTTAGTCCTTTTCATTTGAATCAAATCTAATATGTCCATCAATTATCCTCTATTAATGAACGATCTTGATAAGTTTTAAATTATTCATTAGTAAAAACATGATAAAAGCTAATTAAATTGTTGTAATTTCGAGTTTTTTCCTTAAATATACTTCAACATTAAGGACCTGGACAAAAATAAACCTTCGCGAAATTTTGTGGACAAAACTATATACCACGGATTTCTGAAATCCGAATCAGGGTTGAACTCGGAATTCTGAAATCCGAATCCTACAAAATTCGGATTATCGAAACCCGAATTTGTGTAATGTAAATCTGACATTAAGTTAATGACAGAAATTAGTGTAATTAATGATACTATGGATTTTCTAAATCCGAATATGCTAATAAAATATTAATTTCCGGAAAGGAAAAAAAACAAGTGTTGGAAAATTAATTTTAGCTAAATTCGGATTATTGGAATCCGAATATGCAAAAAACGGATTTTGAAAATCCGGAACACTTCTTCGGTTAAATACGGATTCGTCAAATCCGTAGTTGGATACAATCAGATTTCTGAAATCCGAATATGCTCTATTTCTGAAAACTAGGAACTCTCAGTTAGCTACCAATTCGGATTTGAGAAAACCGAGTCCTGTAAAAAATGAAAGGATTCAGATTTCCTAAATCCAAATCTTTGTCAGAACTGAAAAAAAAATGAACTGGTTTTAACCAGTCCAAAACCTGTTTACAGCACTAACAACAATGAAACATAGAAAAACGGAAATCTAATAACAACAAAACAATAAACGTCATTCGATTCACAACGAAACATAACAAGTTTCAATCCAAAATCAATTAAAAAACTACTTTAAATGTAAAAATACATCAAAGGGCTCATTTTTTCCCTTTTTCTTTCTTAGGCGCATCCGGAGTGTATTTATTTGGCCCCTGTCGGTTCCTGTCTTCCCTCCGAAGATACGTGAGTATTGAACCCTGTTGTTGACGCGGTTGGGGTTGGGATTGGGACTCTCCCATGGTGAGAAATAGGACTCCCGGTTGTGGTTGCGACTCTCCACCAAATTGAGTCTCGGGTCCACCAATGTCTTCAAATTGAGTCTGGACCTGGATGTGTGAGCCTCTAGAAGAAGCCGCCTCGCCATCTCGTTGTTGACCCTAATTTTGTTCTTGCGATGTCCAAGGAGGGATCACTATCTTTCTCTTTCTTCCTCCTCCAATCTTGTCTCTCAACCACGGTTTCGCTTTTTTACTCGACGGAGGTTGTGAGGGCATAGATGGTTCTTCATCAACTAGGATTTGGGTATCGTCCACATCAATCTCATCATTTGCACACAGGGTTAAAGCAACATGTGCTTGATCGATGATTTTGTTCAAATGCTCCTCGAGTTCATCGTCTAGGAGATTGTTATCATCTCGTTTATCTCTAAATAGCTCAGAAGTCATGCGAATGTTGTTCAATTCTTCACCCTGAAAAGAAATTAGAACGTTAATTAAGAGAGTAAAATACAAAAAATAAAGAAAAAAATAAAAGGAAAATATGATAAATAAGAAACCAAAAATATAGAATGAACTCACATATAATTTCACTCGGCTCGAAGAAGTCTCGTATCCTTTAGGTTCATAATTTTTGAGATTGGATATCAGCTTAACAGTGTTTATCATGAACCATTCATAGTATCCCTCATATACTTCGCCAGGGTATCCGACCTCCAAATCTTGTAGAACGTACTTGTTGGAGGTGCAATTTCGCAGTGGGCCGACAACCATTCATGGGTCCAATAAATATTTCTTTATGGCTTATTGGGCCGGCTAAAAGCTCTAACAATGGCCCAAGCCCATCATTGAAGTATTTATTCTCCATCTATATATACCCCATTTTTGGTGGTGAAGAGTAAGCTCACTCTCATTCCCTTCCTAGCTCATATGCTTTATTTCTATCACTCCTTGGACTGACTTGCTCGTCGGAGTGCTAACCCTTGTTTTGCAGGTCTCAGATCCATAGACACCGTTGACCCTCGTCCTAACGGATTTCACCCTCGACAAGTGGCGCCGACTGTGGGGAACGCCAATGTCCTCAATCGAAGGTGAACCTTGAGTCTTGGTGTCTACAGATCTGGACCGAGAAGGGTTTGGAACGAGGAAATTGGTTGTGAATATGAGTTTGGAGAGTTTTGAGCTACACTCCACGCCCCAAAACCCTAGGTCTGGTTACTTAAATTAAATGGGCAGTGAAGTCTTCGAATGGGGGTTTTCCAATTCCCAAATTTCTTCAATAGAAGAAAGGATTCTCCCTTCATCCACGGGAATGGATTCACGCACCGAATCGAAAAGAGGAATAAAGCCCTCATCCGCGACAGCCCCATCATCAGCAACATGTGAATCCCATTTCGGCGTCCAACTTCTTCTGTCTCCAGCTTGCGGCGGCCGTCATTATTTTATCGGTCGCCGAATCAACTATCAGCAGCGGTAGTTTCGACATTAGGCGGTCGTCTTTGGGTTCATTAAGGGCCTTCCTTGATAAAGAAGCAGCAAGCTTCGGGTCGAAGTCCACCGAAGCATCAATCGTCAGTCAAAGGCCCGAAGCCGACTCCCAAAGTTTGGAAAAGGAAGGAACGTCATTTGAAACTCTCACGGAGGTTAAACTTCGGCAGCCGTTGGGTCTTCCACCCAAAACGGGGGAAAGAGGAGGCGACAGAAGCCAGCGTCCAAAACAATGGTCGTCACCTACTGACTATTGACTGAGTCGAAGACGACCTTCAACAAACGGAAGCCACCTTCGGCGTCAACCGAAGGTGACAACCGAAGACGACCTTCAACAAACTTAAGCCACCTTCGGCGTCGACCGAAGGTGACAACCGAAGACGACCTTCAACAAACCGAAGCCACCTTCGGTTTGACGACCTTCAACAAACTTAAGCCATTTTTGGCGTCAACTGAAGATGACAACCGAAGCCGACTTTCGCCGTCTTCCACAAACCGAAGCCACCTTCGGCGTCAAGGACCTAGGTCGCGCCCACAGCTCCAAGCTT